TTTGAAACAGAGCGGACGGGGTCGACGATATGATAACTTACACAACTACAACGAAAATCTAACTTTCTGCGGTTCTGTATTCTGAACCTGGTCAATAATTGCGATTTTTGCGCACTTTTGACGGATTACAGGTTATCTGCTCCACTTTCTAACCTTGGCATTTTTCCAAATTTTTTTTCCCCGAGCTGAATATGTACTCCATAAAATAAAAAAATTGTCACTTTAGATTTTGGTTGATTCGACCCTGGGAATATTGAGCGATCATCATCTAAATATTTACGTATTACTCCCACATCCGAGTACATACCACAATATAATTGGTATCAATTTGAAGTTCAACCACTCCTCTTGGAAAAGTCTATCAACTTATGTTCTTCAGGAGTAAATATATACTTCCCAGAATACAAATATTGTAAAGTCTGAGTCCATTTGACCCGTTAAATTTGACCGATCTTCACCAAAACATTCATGCTAATTCTTTGACCAGATTTCCTTTCTGTTGTAAAATTTCATAATTGTGGCCTCTAGAGTAACCAGAAAATAGTCAAAATACATAATGTTTTTAGTCAATTTGATACCCGAAAAATTAAACTTTCATAAATATGTCATTTTATTAATTTTTGTGCGATTGTAGTAATTCTAATTCATACCAGAGTCAGACATTTACTCTATATAATGCCGTCGGTTTCCGTTATCCCAACGAGCTGAAATCTCCCCGCCATTTAACAGGAAGTTAAAAATTGTTAAACTTTAAGAACGAGAATGTGAGTGGTACCCTTAAATCCAATAATACCAATGAACTCACTTTTCATCCACTGGTACCACTGTTCTTCCCTTCTGACATAACGGAAACTCCATCAAAATAAACGACAATCTGCATTATCATTGTTTTGAAACCGCCTTAATGCAGTAAATAGGCTTTTTTCGCTAACAAACAACTTTAGAATCTATGATTCCTTGCAGATTTTTTTCCATCCTAACATTGGCAACATACAACCGCAATAACTATGAAGTCCAAAATAAAAACCGCCAACATGTACGTACTAGAAAATTGTTTCACTTTAATCCGCAAAAAAAGAACTCAATTTGTTATCCCTCGACAAATGGAATAAACCACGATGTAGAAACACACAATTTGTATTCACAGCAATGTGTCATTCACGGCATTTAGCAGCGACAAATTCTTTTTGTTTTGCGCAAAGTGAACATTAAAAAATATATAGACAAACATACACAATGTTAGATGTTAGTTAGGAAGGGAAGGATAATCGTAAGAAGCTGAGGGCGGGTTTTTTTTAATAAAAATGAGTTATTTGTTTTATAAAAAACATGAATTTGGATACGAAAAAATCTATCAAAAATGATTAAATTTAAAAATAATTAAGAAAAGATTAAAATTTAAAAATAATAGAAAATTTTTATTGAAACAATACACCTATTTAATCAACACCTAATAGCAAACATGTCCGTCCTATAACTTATATAAATATTTTGTTTATATTTTGTGTAATAAATATTGTATAATTTTTTAACAATCTCCTTCAACATGACAGCACTTTTTCACCCGCCTAATAGTATGCTTTAAAAGATGCAATTAAAAATGGATTAACACAAGTTGCCACATAAATATGACTCAAACTATGCGTCTGAATAACGTATGTGCTAAAAAGTGGCAATAAATTAAACAACAACTTAAAAATGCATCTAATTAATTTCTACTCTAAGCTCCACCACAAATTTTCCTCGACAAATTCAACACTAAGCCTTTTACCACAAACTATTTGTTCCATACATTTACTCAGCATGAATATGCCAACAAATGATACAAAGGGCGTAGCATTGTCGGCGTTTTTTATTTCGATTTGAAATATTTTTGTAGTTGACAAAATATTTTTAAGACAAAGTTTAGTTAAATTTTTGGTAGCCATCGTCATTGCCAGTTTAATACTAAAATTTAATAAAAAATTGTAGCGAAGATTGACCAATATTGGAATATTGTTTAGTATTACCATTACTACACTAAAAGGCGGAAATTAAGCCCTTATGTCTATGAAATTTTATATAAAGTTCCGGTTATGGTCAAGGACTACAAAATGTGGTCATTAGATGAAATGGGTCAAAAACATTTTTCTGTAATTCTTCTTAGTCGCTCTATTGTACGCCGAACATCACAAATTTTATACGGCGAAAGGATCTTACCAACATTTTATGTAGGGCCAAATGAACCAAGATTTTGTGAACTAAATAAGCAATTTTGTAACGTATGGCGTAAATGTTTACTCCGGAGAATAGGATTGGGAAAATATGCAAGGGTAAGAAAGAGGAGTTGTTGACCTCTAATCGATTAAGATGATGCAAATATCGGGAAGTATGGATATTGCCCGGAATATATTTCAAAAGAAAATATAAGTTGGATGGTAGTTATGTAGGGTATCATATGGTCGGCCCAATCCGATTATACTGCTCCGTTCACTAAATTTAAACCATTTGATAAATGAGAAAATGTGTATTTACAATCACATCGGTTGGAAAAAGCTTTTCGAACAAAAATTGGGCGGGACCTGTTGAGGGGTCTATTTCAAAACACAGACCCATAGTGAACATGTTCAAACTTTAAGAATTTACTTAATGACTATTCATTAACTGAAAGATTGTTAATTCATGTCAAATTCGAAGATGGGCTATATCGGTTCACTTTTTGGGATATCTCACATATAAGGGTACCCCAATTAATGTAATTTAGTAATTTGAGTTCTTATTGGGTACCAAAACTCTCCACTAAAAATGATAAAAATCCATTACCTTTTTCGGGTTTCCCCCACATTAGGGTACCCCCCCCCAATCTCCCTCCCAAACATTATTAATATTCGCCCCCATATGTTCACCATTTTTTTATATTTATTTTATTTTTTCAAAGACTCCGTTGTAATCATTGAACCTGCGGAGGATATCGAGATAAAAAAAACAAGAACGTAAGGTTCGAAAATTAACTACATATATCGCCCCGTATTTAGGCCTAGCCCCTACATAATGATACCTACCGAATTTCGGTATTTTTACGGCGTACGCATACAATTATTTTGAAATAAAATATGGTGGGCAACTTTTCTCCAAAACTAATAATCTAATCGGTTCCAAATCTCAACACTTTATTTTGTACGTCCATAGCTATCATATGAAGTAGGATAAATGTAATCGCTCAAGATTTTCCTTATGATGGTTTGTAGTCATAGGTCCGAAATTTTGTTAATTTTTGTGCGATGTTAATAATCGCATTTTATTGCAATTTCTACTAAAAATGACAAGTTTGTTTCTAATCGAAAATGGCGTGGTCCACTTATCTGAAGATATGATGTTTTTCATGTTTCTTTTATTATTAACAATGACTTTATATACATTTATAACACATGTTTTATTATTATTTAATTAATAATTACAGCGAGTCAAATGAACTATTCATCAAAATATATAATTATTTTTATAATCAATTAACCCAGTCATAATCGGTATTTAAATAATGTGCTCGCTTCGAAATATACTATAGTATTTTTTAAACGTGTATTTCATTCAAGTCTCTGTTTATGGCCGTTATAATTACGCTACTATTTCGATTTTCTTGTAATTTTACATTTGAAATTCGATTGGGGTGAAAGACCTTTCTAAGGGTATATACTCAATGGCATGTAAAGTCTACAATTATCCGAACCCTATTCGGACTTAAACTAGTTTTGTTAAAAAAATTAAGGGAATTTATGCGAACATTCAATTTGCTAGATATTGGATTTACAAATTTTCAAAATTTAAACACTTTGTGGTGAACATAACACAAGGGGTGAACCGATGGGTCAATATTACAATGGACACCGTTTGAATATAATTTCCGTTCTTTTCATATGGAACTTACACATTTCGTCCTTTGGGTTCGAAGGAATAGAAGCAATGAACTGATTGACTCCATCGTCGAACTTTTTCTTGGTTTGGTTAAATGGACACAGTTGGATATTCCCTTCGCTTCATACAGCATTTATTCAAAATGTTCAGCAAACTTCTAACCATTTTGTGAGGGAGGTCATATAAAAGACAAGATCTAAATATTCTTATTTTAATCTGAATTTGATTTTGACAACACTAAATATAATTATTCTACACTCAATTCGATACACCATGCAAAAAATCAGAGCGATCGTAAAAGCGTATATATACGGAAAATATAATTTAATTCCCCCCATTATATAATATATATAAAAGTCAAATCTTAACCGATTTCAAAGAAATATAGCAGACGTCAGACGTCTACCCTCAATTTGACACTATGCTAAATGTTGTCGCAAACTTTTAGCAAAACTTGTTAAAAATTTATGAACTTATGAAGACATTATACCCCGTACTATAATGTGGTGTAGGGCATAATAATCGTTCAATTACCTTAATTCCGTTTTAAGTCTATAAATTCTCGCTCCGCTAGATTTTAAATTCGTCTACTGTGCGATGTTTTTAATATTCCATACATCCTTTTAAAGAAATATATTTTAACTCGTTTGTGTAATTTTTTGTTACCTCCACGTTATTCGATGTTTCAGAATAAGAAAACTTGTTTCCAGTTAATGAACTCATTCGCGAACTGGTTTATCCTTTCGCGATAACATTGAATTTAAAGGGTCTCACATTTATTGAATAACTCTTGAAGTGAAGTTGTTGTTTATATTTCATATCGTAGTAAATTAACATAGTCTGATACTGTACATAATATTTCATATATAATATTTTGTTAATTATTTATTATATTTGTGTATGAAGTCATATTAAATCATCATACGAAAAAATATTCAATACACGTATTAACACCCTATCGTAGTGTAATTTGCAAATAAATTGCTTATTATAGCAACCATTTTCATTGAATAGCAAAGTAGCAAATCCCAAACGGAAGAAAAATAAATGTTTAGTAATATTTTTACACTGACCTGGGATAGTTGCAGCCGTAGCATAAATAAGAAAAAATGTATTGTTCTTCCCAATTTTTCTTATCGCTGGGTGTAATCACTTTTCTTTATTATCTCTATGAATGTTTGAAATCGCCGTTACAGCTGTTGTATTATCAATGGCTTGAAATTCAAGGGAAAGCAATTCCTCTTACAGAGAAATTTGGTAAATGGGCTGGTAAGTAATAATAAATTTTTTTTAAAAACTCATTAAGAGGTTTTTTAATAAATTCTTATTATAGCCATTACAGGTTCCACGGATGGCATTGGCAAAGCTTATGCTCGGGAATTGGCCCACAAGGGATTTAATATTGTGTTAGTTGCCCGAAATGAAGAAAAACTAAAAGAAACTGCCGATGATATAGGTAAGAAAATTGCAATATGTGCTCGGATATAGTAAAAATAAATTTCTAAACTGATTTCAATCTTTGCTTTACAGCAAAAGAATTTGGTGTAGAAGTTTACACTATTAAGGCAGATTTTTCCCATGGACCTGCAATATATGATAAATTATTTCAAGATCTGGCAAAGAAGCCAATACGATTGCTGGGTAAGTTGTTCAATTGAATTTAATAATATAAATTAATAGTTGCTACAATAACTTTATATAATTAAATGAAGATCGTTGTAGTCGGTTGGTAGACCAACAAAACTAAATATATATAATTATACACTCAGGATTATAGATAATTGCTACTGATGGTATAAACAAGCAAAATGAAACAAAAATGTGCCTCATCGAAATATTGGTTTTAAACTCCAAATTTCCTTGGGACCAAACATTTTCAGACAAGTTTGAGTCGACGTACAAATGTCCGTCCATCCGCCATCCTTCGATCTCCTCCAAACTTTGTATATAGAAATATTTCTTTCAAACTTTAACCAACTTCGAGGATAGGAAATATCGGTCCACTTCTTCAGATGCCTTCCCCACAAAATTGTCAAATACAATGCGAAGGGAGTATCCGATTAGAGCTAAACTTTGCACAACGTAATAATAACAAGCCGTTATAATGTTGTAGATGGGGCTTATCGATCCACTGTTCCTAGTACCTCTCTCACAAAGGTTCTAAATTTGGAAATTTGTAAAATTCATATGAAGGTAGATGGTGCCCGATTGAATACAAACTGTGCACTCGTAAATTGTTGCCAAAGTTCGAATATGGGACCCATTGGCCCACTCCTTCTGGCAACTCATACACAAATTGCCACCAAACACTTCTGAACTAGAGTTGTACAGTTCACGAACGAACTAGTTCAAATGAACGATTCATTAAAAAAAACGATTGAACTAGGTATTTCAAAGTCGTTCCTTTTAGTTCGTTAAAAGAACGAACTGGAATAATCGTTTCTTTTAGTTCAAATTTGAGCGTTTTACTGACCTAGTTCCATTTTTCTCTAAATGGAAGCAGCACCGATAGAGTTTTATTTTGCATGTGATATTAACAGCGCTTTCATTTAGTAAACATATAAAATATGTTGCCTATCATTTAAGCCCTTTATGTTCGCAAGAAATTTTTCAATTATTCTGAAACTTTTCTTTAAAAATCCACACCTTATAGACCCCCATAAACTGTTCTAAAATTTTTCTATATAATATTCTCACCATAAATAAAACAAAATTGTTTTTATTCACACATCACAATCTTCCAAGAACACAAACTATCAACTGAACGATTTGGAGAGCCATGAACTATTAAAAGAACGACCGAAGTAAAACGACAGCTGAATAAAAGAGCTTAATTGTGAACGATTGAACTTTGAACTAGAAGACCAAACTAGTTCAGTCAAAAGAGCTGAACTAAAAAGAGCGATCAGCTAACTGAACTAGATAGAACAACTCTATTCTGAACGGATAGGGCTGTCGAATGCAGCTTTAATGTCGACGAATATTTTAAATGTGTCGAGTGTTTTTTGTGGGTCTTTTGCTGGATTTGGCGCAGAGTGAAAATCTGATCACAGATCCAATGTTTGCATATCGCAATATTTTCACCTGACTTAGAGCAAGTCCGACATAAGGGTCTGAAGGACAGCATCATCTGGAACGACCCCAGATGGTCAACTATTTGATAAAAACATATAGAGAATATAGCAGACCTTAATTTTTATATACGCCAATTATATATACGCCCATCGGGTACCGCCGCCTCAAACTATAAAAATTGTAAGTTTAATAAAACGCTAGCCATTTACGGAAGGATATGCCCTCAGCCATAAGGTGGAGTAAATATTTTTTTTTAATATAAAACATTAGTTTACATATAAAAGAGGTATTTATAAAATGTTTATAAATTTTATATATACAGAACTTTTAAACTGCTTTTCACCGCAAAAGGTGTCTTCCACAGGAAATATTTCTGAAGGTATTTCACATATAAGATCATAGATTACAAGATCAATAGTTCTGTAAAAATTCAAGCAGTCTTCTATCAGTATATCGTTCGATTTACTTTCAAGCCTCTTAGATCGATCTAAACATTTTACTACAATTATGAAACGCGATATTTTATTTCATAATAATAATGTATTTTAATCAAATTTGAACATTAGAGGTACGTGTGTAGAGTATTACATAGCGTTTTGGTCATAATTGTCTCCGAAAATATTAAATGAAAAAATAGCCCATCTAAATTTTTTTTAACATATATTTTCTACATCTACCTTTCAGTTAACAACGTTGGTATCGGTCACAATCCACCTGGCATCACTCCCAGTTTCACGGCCGAACATCTTTGGGATGTGATTTATGTTAATCTTGGTGCTGCCACACAACTATCTCGCCACTTTGTTGATTTATGGCTGAAACAAGGAATATCCGGTTGTGTAGTAAACATATCATCGATGTTAGAAGGACAACCGGCTCCATATGGTGCCGTTTATGGTGCTACAAAGGCTTATCTGCGAAGTTTTACAACAGCTCTCCAACATGAAGTTCAATCATTCGGTATAACCATTCAACTATTATCGCCTGGTGCTGTTGCAACCAAAATCAATAGCTATTCAGCATGGTGCTTAAAGGGAAACCTGCTCGTTCCCACAGCTGAGGTATATGCTAAGTGGGCTGTCAACACGCTAGGGAAATGTGACCAGAGTACTGGTTACATTTGGCATGCCGTACATGTGAGTTAATGACGAGATAGGAAGATGTCTTTTTGCCTTAATTAATTTATTGTCATGTTTTTTTTTTCATTTTATAGTTAGCCACTATGAAGTGGTTACCAACATTCCTTAGAATTGAAATGGTTAAAATGCTGGTAAAAGCCGTTACCGATGACACAACAAATATCTATGAAGCTAGCATCAGAAAACAGTATGGTCAATTGTAATATTTTACGAAATCTAGCTATTGTGTTCTTCAAAATAAAAAAATTACAATTAGTTATAAAGCATCAGTCGATGTTGCTGGGAGATATGTAACATTAGCCTACGATATATGTAGTAAAGATTTATCCTAACACCAAATATGGAATTTTACTTTCCATATCTGTAAATAAGTTAAGTTCGATAAAAATATTGGTGCAGCGGTTAAAAAAAATAAGATCTATTTTCAAATATTATGATTTTTTTATGTAGTCGGTATTTAGTTCAAACATTAAGGTGCGCCAAATGTGGGTCAAATAGTATTAACAATTCGCTTTATGTCATATGTTGAAATCACGATAGAGTTGGCCCATATTGGCCCACTTTTTACGACATAGCCCGTCATATATAAAAAGTCCCAAACGATTACAGGTATATTAAATGTCTACCTAATGGTGGAGGGTATAAAAAGTTGAACTCGGACGAACTAAATGACGTTATTAGTTCCTTCCACTTAATCTGCCCGATCATGAATATCCGCAAGGAATTCTATCCTCTAATAAAAATAATCTCGAGAATCAAATCTTCCGATCATGAATAACTTTAGTAAAATATATATGGAGAGGAGGAGAGTCGTAATGCTACTGCTGTGAAAAACGCAGCGTATAGGGCAACCCTGCACAGAGTAGGAACGCGTAATGCTAGAGAGAATTATCGGAAGAAAAGGAGAGCGAGGAGGATTATCAGGAAAAAGAAGGAAGAACATGAAAAACGTGATCAGGAGTAAATCGAAATGTACAGGAGTTAGAACTAAATTCGGAAATTTTCCCAACGAGTAAAACACCAAACCAAAGGCTTTGGTGCAGGCATATCCTCCTGTAGAGATGACGGTGGAAACCTGTTGACAAATACATACAGCGTGTTGAGGATCTGGAAGGAGAATTTTGAAAAACTTACGATATCAAATAGTAGCGGCGAAGAACATACCCCAGAACCAATGAAAAATGACGGTATAGAGTGTATACCACCTAGCCAAGATGAGGTCAGAAAAGCAATCAATCGGCTGAATAATAATAAAACAGCAGGTGCAGATGGGTTACCAGCCGAACTATTCAAGACCGGTGGTGAGATGCTGGTCAGGAGTATGCACCAGGTGATTAGTACAAGCTAGAGGAATACATGCCCAGTCCGTGCACTATATGTGCCAACTATAGATGAATTAGTCTCATTCCCATCGCATATAAAGTGCTCTACAGCGTACTGTGATAACGACTGAAGCCAATGGTCAATGAAATGATTGAACCATACCAATGCTGCTTCAGACCTGGAAATTCCACCATATACTAGATTTTCACTCTGCGCCAAATCATGGAAAAGGCCATGAGTCATGTCTGCGTTCGGCATTCCCGCAAAATTAATAGGCTATGCAGGATAACTTAAACTGGCACAATATCATCAGTTAAAGGCGGAAAGAACCTTTCGGATCCCTTCAATACCGAACGAGGGTTCAGACAAGGTGACAGCCTCTCGATTCATCTTTACAACATCCTGGCAAACGAGAAGCTAAAGTTGAACAGAAATGGTACTCTGTACACCAACCAACACATGTCACTCGCCGATGACATAGACATAATGGGTCGAACAATGTGAGCGTTAACAGCCACCTTTAAACAAATTGAGAAGGAGTCTGGCAAAATAGGCGTGGCAGTAAATAGCGAGAAGACCAAGCTGATGGTATCAACGCACAAGACGTCCCGTAGACTCGGACCAACTGTGGAACTTGAAAACAACATCGAAGTAGTCAAATATTTTATACATCTCGGTACCGCCATAAATAAAACTAATGACATCAGTTTTGAAATTCGGAGAAGGATAGTGCTGGCCAACAGATGCTACTATGTTATTTGTAAGCAATTTAGAAACAAGGCCACCCCTCGTCAAACCAAACTCACGCTGTCCAAGACGCTGGTTTATGGATCAGAAGCATGGGCACTTACGCCAGCAGATGAGGGATTTTCACGGTGAATATAGGTGTGAAATGAATCACGATCTAACCATCTATACACGGACATCGAGATAGTCAGTCGCATCGATCTGCACCGACTACGGTGGCTAGGCCATGTTGTTCGAAGGGATAAGTATGCACAAAAGTCATATAAAAACGAGGCAACTGATGGTTCGCGCAGAAGGGGAAAACCACGAATTCGATGGGAAGATCAAGTGTAGGATGACATATCAATGCATGATCTTTCTAATTGGAAAAACTGGACACAAGATCGACGCGCCTGGAAATCTTCTTAAGTTCGGCTTATGAAACAAATGTTCTGTCTCTTTAAAAAGAAATGGAATCAATTACAAAAGTAAACAAAACAATTTATAATTATTTAAAATACGATTTTATTTGTATATAATAAAAAAATCCGTGATCAAAAAATTATTGAGCTGCAACCAAAAATTAATTTTAAATTTTTATTTTAAGAAATTTTGCTACAAAATCTATTAAAAATGTTGATTTTGTAAGTTTTAATCAAAATTACTTCGAAGAAATTAGTTTTTTGCCAGCTCCCGTCAATTTTATATGTGAGTTCTACAGGAAACACAAGTTTTGGGGAATGATTTTCCTTGCGGAGTTTTTATTCATGATAAAATGAAAAAAGAAAAATTCCGTACGGATTTGGTATTCTTGGTTGAATATTTTCTTTATTTGATTTCACTTTGAAAGTATTTGTCGGGTCAGCTAGTAAACAATAAAATATGGAAACGAAAAATGCTTTCCAAAAAAAGTTTCTTTATTGTAGACATCAACCCAAGCAAAATAATGTTGGAGCTTTTGTTCGTATATGAATGAAAAGCTCAGACATAGAGCATTATTTAAAAACCATAACATTTATTAATAAACATTTTAAAATACTTTTTCAGTAGTTAGAACTTAAATTACGATATTTTTCCTTATAATCATAATAATCATTATTGGATACAACATTTGATGGCAATTATATGCTGCATCACATAAAAACATTACAGCGTCAACTAAACTCATGAATTGAGATTAGACAAAGCTAAGCTTATGTTTCCTCTACAGGTTCGTATCATACACATGACAAAAGAGGTATGAAGTCAAATTTTAGTTGGTTGCTTTGGTTGTCAGTTTTATAGCATTAACCATGATTCAGATCTGGCGAATCAAACCTTGCTTCATTCATACACATTGTCGGAGCCGCCGCCGCATTTGCAGCAAGCGAACCTAGCCTAGGCTAGGCTCAGTTTGAACGAATCCAACTGATAGTGATGAAGCATGGAAACCAAACAAACAATTCGAATTGAAATTTAGTGTTTAATTCAAGAGGCTCGTGAACGGTTGATAAGCCCAAGCCAAGTGTAATAATAATGTTTGTATAAATGCAATTGTATGAAAAAAATCAAAAAAAGTGAATTAATTTAAATTACGATACAATGCAAACTATTTAATGTTAATGATAAGGAAGTGATTGTTGTTGCTTTTAGTGTAAATTTTTATCAAATACAAAAAAGCTGAATAATTGTGTTGGTAAATCAAAGGTTTAACTATAATTTAACCGTACGCTGATAAAAAATCGCTCTTATCAAGACCTCTATGTGAATTGTAGATAACCCTTAGCAGTGTTCTGTTGTTATTGCAATACCCAAAATTGTTGTGTTCAATATAAAAAAAGGTGCAATCGTCAAGTAAAAAAAATACATTTCGGTTACCATCAGTTTTCCGCCAAATTCGCGTTCAACATGTTGTCCCTGTTATCGGCCTTCATTTATTTTGTCGGAATATATGCTCTTGCCGTATTTATTTACGATAATTTCATATCTGTGGTATCCATAATCAAATCATTACTGCAGCCATATTTCCAACCTCAGCTACCGACAACTCTAGTGGATAAATACGGAAAATGGGCAGGTGAGAGAATGTGTTGAAAGTGAAAATAAAAACAAAATGAAAAATTAATTCAATATTATTGAATTTGCAAAGCAAAGGCCCCATATAATGGTGAATAAATATTAATGGCTTTTAAAGGCAATTGAATTACAATTACTTTAAATTGGTATTTTGGAAATTTGTGTGTATTTTAAAATTCTTTAAAATGTTGCATAATGCGCAAAACAAAACAAAAACTGATATAAAAGTATCAATGGTTAATGTGCATTAGTCAAATATTTTGTAAAGTTTGATCGCTTCTACCAATGAAAATCATTTTTAGCAAATTTCGTGTTCGATTTAACAAAATGAGAAATGAAAGCAAATATCTTAAATATATTAAACATCAATACAGAGTGTTATTTCTGTTCACATTTGCCTCTCGTATAACCTTTTCCAGCAGGATGTTAAAAAGGTCCACGACAAAGTGTGAACTTGTCTGAATCCTCGTTCGGTATTAAAGGGCTCCGAGAGGTTCTTTCCAACTTAAACTGCTGATCTTGTACCAGCAATGCCAAACGCAGACATGACTTTAAACACTTCTGAACGGATAGGGATGAAAATCAATAGGATAAAAAATCAAAAGTAACCAAATAAAAAATCTTCAAAAATAGTCAACAATCAAAAATTTCACAATTCTACAAACTGTCCTTCAAATATTTTATAACATTTATTTACATGTTTCCTCCATTAATTCCTTGTGACTACAGTAACACGAAATAATTGCTGAATCCTCTATGGACTGCGTAATGTAATCATCTATTCGTTAATTATCGATAATAAAATTTGCAATTTTTATGTCTAGTCATGTATGTACATAGCACATTTGTGCCACTTACCCGTTTTTCGTAATGATTAACTATTGTTGCTGCTCGCTCTGGCGATCTTTTGCAATCTTTTTTGCCTTTCTGTGTAAATTTCAAGTGTCATAAAATGTTATTTATTTGTTTATTTCATTTTTGTTTTTGCAAATAATGTACTGATGTTGTTGTTGCAAGTTGTTGATTTTTATTTAGCCAAAATAAATATTTACAAATTAGTAGCAATAACAAAAGGAAAAAAAATAAATAAACATCAGCCAAAAACCTTCATTTGTAAGCATGGGAAGAAACATGAACTATTTTCGGGGTATGGAACTTTCGCAAAAAAAAGAAAAGTTGACATTTAAATTTGGCATATTTTAGCTCGTTTGAAAGTAGAGATAATGTTGTAAAATTTATAATAAAAATTATTTTTTTAATTTACATTAAGATCTATAAAAACCCAAAGAAGTCTTAGAAGACGAAGTGAGGAACACTAAATCTAAAAAGTGCCAGTTGGAACGTGGAACTAGCATGCACTCACTGTAACTAACTAAAAGCTTATATTTTTAAAATACCGCAAATGAATATAATTATATATCGTTTATTACCTAAAGCTATGTCTGAGTAGTATTTGCAGATAAGGAATTAAAAATTTAAATTCTCATATTTTTTTTTCATAATTCCCATGCATCAAATGAATTGGAATTTTTGTCAAAGCTTTTCTATATAATAAAGGTGTACACATAAGTAATGTCAATACTTGTGGAATACACACAGTATTTTTGCAAAAAGTGACCCTATGTTTCCACAGGACTGACAGAAATTTGGAATATCGGTTTCCTAGTAGATATAAAATGTACCCAACTGCTATTTCAGTCGTATTAAGGATTAAAATAAAATCTTACATTAATTTAGCTATGTTCGTGTGTATATTGAATTTACGATAGAGCTCACAGATTTCCTGTATGGGAAATATATCAACTGGTAGAAATAGTTCAATGGAGTATTGGCCCCTGAAAAATATCTTTGACAAATAATTAAATAACCCAAACTTTCTAATCTTTAAAAAGTGCCTTAGCGGTCCATTGGTCCTTCAAAATCTTTACAAAAAAGTTCATAATTAATGGCTTACTAGTCCTTAAAATGTCACCGAATAATAATCTATTGGCCATTGAAAAATACAATATTATAATTCAAATTTGAAATATTTATTTAAAAACTAAACTGATTATTTTTTTAGTCCCTGAAAATCTTCTTAAGTTCGGTCGGTCCAAAGGCAGGTAATCAAAATATATATACTGGGTTTGTTAAACCATGAACACAAGAGTATCCCCTCAAAAATGAAGTACTAACTTTCTTAGTTACTCAGATGACTTAAGGCAGAACATTTGTTCCATAAGGCGAACTAAACAAACATTTCCAGACGCAAAGGTCTTGTACTCAGCTCTTCCAATTTCGAAATGTTGTCTTCAACCTGATCTTTCCATCGAATTCGAGGACTTCTCCTTCTGTGTGAACCATATTTGCATTTTGAGCTGGGGCTTGTTCGTTCATTATCCCAACATGATCAAGCCAACGTAGTCGCTGCAGCTCGATACGTCTTAATATGTCGATCTCCGAGAATAAATGGTATATCTCATGGTTCATTCGACCGCTATATTCGGAAAATTTTCTCTCAAACACGCCAAGAGCTGCCTCATCTACTTCCGCAAGTACCCATGCTTCAGATCCATGAGAGTGTGTGTTTGGTCAAGCAAGAGGTAGATTTATTTTTAAATTGCTCAGATCATAGTAGCTTATGTTAGCCCCCACTATTCTTCTCTGGATTGCAAAGCTGATATTATTAGTTTTGTTTATGGTGGTACTAAGGTGTATAAAATCCTTTACTACCTCGAAGCTGTAGTTTTCATGTTCCACAATTGGTTCGACTCTACTGGACGTCTTGCACGTTGATACCATCAGCTTGGACCTTCTCGCCATTTACTGCCAGTTTCACTTTGGCTGGCTCCTTCTCAATTCGTTTTATGTCATAGGCGTAGGCGAGTAACATGTGTTGTTTGGTGTTCAGAGTGCCATTTCTGTTCACCTTCACATCTCGTATGATATCGGATCGGTATTGAAATGGTCCCAAATGTCCTTTCCGACTTTAACTGCTCACATTGTGCCAGTTAAATTTATCCCGCATACCAGTATTGATTTTGCAGGAATGCCGAACGCAGAATAAGCGGATTGGGCTGTCGAATGCGGATGTTTAGTCGACGAGCAGGTGGAATGTGTCGATGTGTTTCTCCTGGTTTTTTCAGGATTTGAAAATCTAATATTAAAATCTGGTCCACTATAGATCAGATTTTGCCAGGTCTGAAGCCACATCATATCGTCTTGCATCCCTTTATGTACACGGGACGCAGAATGCTGAAGCTCGAATCATTGGGCATGCATTCCTCTAGACAAATTGTAGTTGGTGCATGCTCTTGATTAGCGCCTTGAATAGTTCGGTTTTGAATATTTGGCTGCTGCTTTATTTGTTTTTCAGTCAATTAGTTGCTATTCTGACCTCTTCTTGGTTATGTGGTATACAATCTATACCGCCATCTGTAATTTATTCAGGGGTAGCTTCTTCGCCGTTACTATTTCATATTAGAAGCCTTTCAAATTGATCCTTCCATATCCTTAACACGCTGTATGTCACTTTCACGTATCTGTCACCAGGTTGCCTTCAAAACCACTGGCGAACGGACAGGCGGCGATTCATTAAAGCCAATTGCCCGTTCAACATTTTTGAAAAACCAGGCCCAACCTTCGTTAAAAATGCAATCCTCACACGATGTGACAATTTAGCCCTTTATTTTCTATAACATTTTAATTTATTTTTTTATCAAATTCTGCTAGTACCACATAAATACAAATAACTAGTAACAGGGCGCAACTAGTCACTCTCCTCCCTACTAATGGTACCAGAGTTGAACATTTATTAACTTAAACACAATGGATGAACAACTAACCGGCTTTTTATGCTTCGATTAAGTTTTGATGCGGTTACAGCTTTAGATCAGACTGTAAATAAATTTTTATGAATCGTGCGTTTAATTGTTAGTTTTTTGTTTTTTTTTCTTTTTGTGTTGCTGTGTTTCATTCATCCCAAGTAATATTTTTACCCAATTTCTTTTGATGTCTATTTTCGGTTTATGATTTTTTTATAGTTTAGTATGGCACGATGGCTGGTAAGCTTGGCTTCTGTCTTGTCATAATGAAGCTTCAGACGACCTTGCATTGTTTACACTCTATGGTACTACATCGACTTTGTGAACCCGTATGCCACCGTAGTTTCTAGTGTGACTGCTTGAATAAAGTGCGTTAAATTTGTTTTGAGATTGTTATTTCACGCAATTTGAGGAGAGACCTGAACAAAGTCAAGTTCAAGTCCATGGAAAATTAATTGGCATCATAGAATAAAATGCTAGACATTCTAAATGTAATTTAAAAGTCATTAGAAAATATAAAATCGGAACTGTATAACTTATCCAATATCCAATTTGACAGTATTGAACAAATTAGCTCGCGTAAATTATTTTCTTCTTTATGCGTCGAATTTTTCGCTAACTTTTCAATTATCTCCATTAGTTGGTAAAAGGTCATTGACAATAGTCGCTTAAAAATAACATCATAAAGTGGATTCAATTGGCAATTTGATTATATCAAACGCCCACTAGCATATAGTTGGAAACATTTTTCATTACTTGATTGATAAATTATATGGTGTCTCAAATAGGAAATACTCAGAGCAATTTAACTAGTTCTGCGAAAAAAATAAAATGATTCGATAAAATATTGAACTGCAATGCATTATAAATATCGAAATTCAAGAAGTTCATTGAACTAAAATGCGGTTATTTAATACTTGAATTTTGCAACTTAACGTAAGAAAGTTATATTTTTTAATTTTAGTGAAAATTGAACTAAAATTTATAATATATATTTATATTTTATATTCTAAAAATCGTATATATAATAATTTTTTGTAATTTCCATTAACAGCCAAATACCTCAATCATAATAATGTTGTTACAATTTATATATTTATACATTTCTCCGGCATTGATCTTGTTGTGCAAGACATAAAAACTTGCAAGACATCATTTTTCGATAGCAGCTATAAATTTCATAGTTTATAAACAGCAATTCCTTTCAATTTATAAACAAATTGCGTTTTTCAGTTTATTCGTTGCATCCAAAAATATAATTTTTTTATTACATTCCATATACATAGTATATAAATTCCGGACATTTTGCAGAATTTTCCAATAGACATCTGTGAATGAAAATAAATTCATATATACACATACATATATCTATTATGGCGAATATCGATCTTGTTTAACATATGCGTATACTGCATACGAGTTATGATTGAAAAATAACCGTAAAGTTTTAATTTCTCTTTCATCTCCTCAATCGTAGCAACACGCTTTCCTTTCAGCTGTGTCTTCAGTTTTAGTAAGGGGAAAAAGTCATCTGGGGTTATGTCCGGCCCCTCACACATTGATGTGTGAGCGGATGCCTTATCATGTTGCGCAATTTATAAAAGTGGTATTCCTTATTGACCATACGGCCTTGTTGCAAGAATTCCAGATGCACCACGCTTTGAAATCGAAGAGAACAGAGAACCTTCACATTTGACCGAACTAGTCCAAATGTGACATGTCCCGTCAACTTTTCAATTCCAATTTTTACCCTGCACCACTTTAAATATAAATATGTTTTCTGGATCAGTACAAAATTTCATTGTTGAAATCGCGATATAAATGATCAATATTGGTTCAATTTTCGATGTAAACATCATATACGAGTGTCCTATAATTGTTGGTATTTTGAGAATTACAGACCAATTTCCAACATGAGAGTTTGGTGTTTGATATTTCGATATCTCCTGACAGCACATTTACTATGGCTAGCATCCATCTAAATATGTCAATTTAAGGTATTTCCACGATGTGCTAGTCTCATCTTGTCTCAGTAAAGTCTATCGTACGAACATATGTTGTGTTGTAAAGAACAAACACTTGCCGTCAAAAGGATTCTTCTTGTTAGATCCAACACAAAAAACGATCACCGTCTTGTAGAGTGTGAAAATTTCTAAAAAAAAGGCAGCCTTGTTTTTGAATTGCTTACTCAGACCACAGTCATCGACAGTGTGGGTGTCAAAGACGAATTAATTCTAACGAAAGTTGTTCCAGGAAGAATAACTGTGAACCATGACAGTGCGATGTTTCACGTCGAAGGCAATGGTGTATGTGTAAGAGCTAGTTTACAAAAATAAAAAAAAAAACAAATCTGATTCTGGATCGGTATTAACAATTTGTATACCCTTTACCACATTGTGGTACAGGGTATTATGTATTTGTGCATATGTTTGTAACAGGCAAAGGGAAATGAAATAGACACATGATTCTTTTGAGAATATGCATAGAATAACCTTCTGAGTCAATTTATGCATGTCCGTCCATGTATTTTTGTGAGCAAAGTACAGGTCGCATTTATGATCCGAATTGGATGAAATTTAGCACAACTCAACTATATCCGATCGAGGCCAAATTTTGCACACCGTACTGAATTAGGTCCAGTTTAATATCTGTAATGTTTTGTTGAAATCGGTTCTGATTTAGATATTGCTCCAATATATAGCTTCGTCAGATTTTAGGTAAAGGGTCCACTAAACTCCCAATTTTTGACCGAATGTGACGAAATTTGGCATAACGTATAGAATTAATACAAGGATATAGTATGTTAAGTTTCACTGAAATCGGATCAGATATAGATATAGCTCCCATATATAGTTTGTTCGATTTTAGGTAAATGGTGCAACAAACTCCCATGGTTTGTCCAATTGAGACAACATATTGCGCAGCGTACTGAGTTAGGTCCAGATAGACGTATGCGAAGTTTTGTTGAAATTGGTTCAGATTTAGATATAACTCCCCTATATAATTTCGTTCGATTTTGTGTAAATGGCGCATGAAATTCCCAATATTTGTCCGATTGAGAAAAAACTTTTGCACAGCTTACTGATGTTTGATGTCTGTGAAGTTTTGTTGACATCGGCTCTGATTTAACCCCTACACATTTTCGTCTGAATTCATGCAATAAAGATTTCTACTACCGAGATAAAATAGTGGACAGCGCACTGTGCTGCAGGATTCTAAATGGCGTATGCCACGGTTGCTCAATAAGGTCCTGATTTACATATAGCTCCCATACATATTTACTCGATGTCATACAAATGGTTTACTAAAGAATCCAAGTCTGCCCGATTGACATGCAATTTTTCATAGATATCAGAATGGCATGTGTATTGTTTTTTAATGGTTAAAATATCTATGTAGATCACACATTTAATTTCGCTCGATTCGATTTCAATGTTCCTCCAAAGATGCTATGTCTGTTCTATCTACAGTATATTGTATATATAGTATCTCTTGTACGTACTCAAAGTGAACTTTTCTTACTGGTTCAATATGGGTCATCTGATACCAAACAAATGATCTGGGTGATGGATGTTCCATCGCAAAACCTCCTAAGAGGTCCGCTCTATGAGCTGATTATATACTAAGACACTGTGAGGCCGGTATGACGCATCGATGTTTGTTCCCCAACCCATATTTGCCTTCCTTAGATGTTGGTCATGCTTCCTATTCAATTCCGCTACTGTTTTAGTGTTGCGTTTTTTATGAATGTTGCTGTTGCTTGTAAAAACCAACAGCATTAATTTCGTCACTTTCTTCTTAGCATTAGGCATTTGCATTCGCTAATTAACACTTAAATGTTAATTACTTCATTTTCGTTTTCGCTTTTTCTTCGACAGTGCTGGTTATGCTATTTTACCATAACGATTATTGCCAGTCTTTTATGTTCACTTCACCATGTATGTAACTAAAGCCTCTTTATTTGTTGCTTTATTTCAGTTATTACGGGAGCCACCGATGGCATTGGCAAGGAATACGCTAAAGAGTTAGCCAAACAAGGTCTTAATGTGGTGCTCATTTCACGTACCAAAGCCAAATTGGTGGAAGTGTGTAATCAAATTGGTAAGTGCATGGAGACGGCAGAGGGGCACAAATACTATTTATCTGCTTTAAAAAAAATCAACATTTGGCGGATTTTAGCGCTTGACTGATAATTCTCATGTTTAATTTTGTTTTTATGTTATTTTTATTTTTTGGTTACAGAATCCGAATATAAAGTTAAAACGAAATGGATTGCAGCCGACTTTTCCAAGGGCAAAGAGGTTTACAGCCACATTGAAAATGAATTGGCTGGTATACCTGTGGGAATATTGGGTAAGAGAGAATGACAAACTAATATATCTCGTTCAAACTACATTATCCTATGGTTACATTTGATTTTCAGTTAACAATGTTGGTAAAATGTACGATTATCCCGATGCCGTGGAAAATGTACCCGAGGATGTATTATGGGATATTATCAACATTAACATTGGTTCCGTGACCATGATGACCCGTATGATAATTCCCTATATGAAGAAACAGGGCAAAGGTATTATTGTGAATATTTCATCGGGCAGTGAGCTGCAACCTCTACCTTATATGGCCGTTTATGCTGCCACAAAACGTTTTGTGCGAACCTTTACCTTGGCCATTGAACAAGAATTGGCTGAACACAATATTGAGGTGCAGTGTGTAACACCATTATTTGTCGTCACCAAAATGAATCAATATTCCGAGACAGTAATGCAGGGCAGTATAATGGTACCCAGTGCTGCATCTTATGCCCGTTCAACTGTATTTACTTTGGGAAAAACTAAGGAGACAACGGGTTATTGGTCTCATGGTTTGCAGGTAAGAAGAGGTTTTGAAAAATAATTATGGAACATTACTTAATAAAAAAAATCTGGTGACAGGTGAAATCGAGAGGGAAATTTTAATAAAATTACTTAATTTGAGAAAAAGAGGAATGATAAAATTATCTCTCCTCATTATTTAGCAAAAACTCTGTTTTCTTTTTAATCTCAAATATATATCTGTTTTATTTTGTTTTAGTATTTCATTATGAAACTATCACCCGAGAGAGTGCGAACCCGCATTGGTGGCAACATGTGCAAAAAGTTACGACAAGAATATCTGGATTCAGTACGCAAAGAGAAGGCCATCTAATTAAATGCATTCCAAAGTATCTTAGGAAAAAATAAGTTGTTTGTTTTTACTTAGTTAAGTTCGACTTTTATATTTGTATAATTTAATGTATATATATTTAAAAAAATAAATATTTTGTTTTCCAAATTAATGTTTTTATTATTAAAAATAATTTGAAATTGTTGCTGTCCATCTAGCATAGTCCAGTACTTTTTGACTTACGGCCATGGTTATGTTGTTTTCAGTGATTTGAACAATCAACTAAGTGGAATTATTTCATTAACATTTTCGTTCATATTTCACAGGGGATGATAAATACCAAGCAACGGATCTGATTTAACATGGCGAAGCCCAGGCTTATATTGGTCCCTCTTTCATCTCAATTGTGGACACTGACCTCCACACAGTGTCACCAGGGGTAGCTATTTCATCACCCGTTGAAATAGTGAGCTGACATGTGCCTCAAGTTCACCTATAAGAACTATAAAACTGGGATGAGGGGTCGGGTTAGTTGCCCACACTCGAAAATCCCTGCCTTTTCGCCGACTACAAAGACGTATTCGACACCCCCTCAGAGGTGTTTAATACGGCTATGCAGGATAACTTTAACTGGCACAAGGTCAGCAGTTAAAGTCGGAAAGGACCTGTCGGAGCCCTTCAATACCGAACGAGGATTCAGACAAGGTGACAGTTTGTCGTGTGACCTTCTGCTGCTGGAAAAGGTCATACGATATGCAAATGTGAACAGAAATGGCATTCTGTGCACCAAACACCATATGTTACTCGCCTACACCGATGACATCGACCTAATGGGTCGAAAATTGTGAGCGGTCACCTTTAAAGGAATTGAGAAGGAGTCCGCCTAAAGTAGATCTGACAGTAAATGGCGAAAAGACCAAGCTTATGATATCAACGCGCAAGACGTCCAGTAGACTCGGACCAACTGTGGAACTTAAATACTACAAATTCGGGGTAGTCGCCATAAATAAAACTAATAACATAAGCTATGAAATACAGAGAAGAATAGTATTGGCCAACAGATTCTACTAGGGTCTGAGTAAGTAAATCAAAAACAAGGCCACCTCCCGCCAGACCAAACTCACACTCTACAATACGCTTATACTAACCGTGCCGTTATATGGATCTGATGCTCTTGGAGTGTACGGAAGACAAATTTTCCGTATGATCTATCGTCCAATCTGGGTTGCCGGTGAATATCGCCGACAAATTAACCAGTAGTTGTACCATCTACACTCGGACATAAACATCGTCAGACGTATTGAGCTGCAGCGACTACGTTGGCTAGGCCATGTTGTAAAGAGAGATGAGGATGCCTCAGCACAAAGCGAGCCAACGGAAGGCCGCGAATTCAGTGGAAAGATCAAGTGGATTCGGTGGAAAGATCAAGTGGAAAAGTCTGAGTAGGAATTGGGAGAAATTCGAAAGACGAACAAGAGAAGACGAACAAGAGAAAATCGGCTCAAATCAGCGGTTTATAGACCTATTCAATTCTAAATAATCGTTATATGAGATTTCCAACTTTTAAGAATGCTGACTCTTTGTGGAAATGGTTTCAGAAAGAGCGGATCGATGGGTTCTATCTTCGAACTGGATGAAGGCTGGGTAAAAGGGATTGCTAAAATCGTTATTTCATTAATATAAAAATACTAAAATCTGATGTATATTTTTATAAAGCCTTCCTTGAAATATTTGTCAGACTCCACAAAAATTGTTAATGGTATAGCACACATATTTCGATAGTTTCACATATTTAAACCGAACAGGTCTTCATTATACATTTCGGGCTTTAATACGAAATTTACCTCGTATTCTGTATATTGAAGGTCCTGCGATGTTAGTTTCATTTTACAAATTTCAGGTTTTATTATAATATTCTGTTTTTTATAGTATTTCTCAATTTTATAGTTGCACCACTTTAAATATCATCAAGTTAATATAAATATACCCTTTAATTTCGGCAAAGTTTGAACTAAATTTGGAACATCCATGGAATTTCGGTGGTACCTCTATAACAAAGATATGATATGTTCTGATTTTGTAGTTTATTTTTATAAAGCCTTCCACCATATCATCGGGCTTTAATACGAAATTTACCTCGTATTCTGTATATTGAAGGTACTGCCATGTTAGTTTCATTTTAGAAATTTCAGGTTTTAATATAATATTCTGTTTTTTAAATATCATCATGTTAATATACCCTTTAATTTCGGCAAATTTTGAACTAAATTTGGAACACATGGAAAATTATAACAAAGGGCCAAAAGTGATCCTTTTTCGATTAAATTAAGATTTTGTTTAATAGTGTAACAAATTTAACTGGCCAAAAGTGATCTACAGAGTGAAATGCTAACAGTTGAGCAATATTTGTCTTTATACATTTTTCAGAATATCTTAAATGTACGTTTCAAAATCAATATGTTTTAATTCGAACATATTTTGTAACATCGTTTAATATTTCTTCTGTTTCCTCTTTACAAGACATGTTGCATTAACTTACATTTGCCTAAATGCAAGACCAGTTTCATCATTGCATTTTTTATCATTTCAAACCTGTCGGTTGTTGTAGCTTGTCGGCCACAAGCCGCACAAAAAAACATTCAACCTGGCTATTGCATAATTTCTGTTAAACTTTCGATTTCGTATGTAACCAGTTTTAATGTAGAAAAAAATAATAAATAAATATCTGTAAAAATAATCCAACAACAATAAAGTCGTTGACCGTTAAACTTCCATGTGGTGATCGGTCGATGCAGAGACTCTAAAGCCGTAGGAAACAATTGGCATCAATTGACGCTTGATTGCATTCACATCGACAATGCTGTTGTTGTTGTTGCCATTGTGGTATTACATGGAGATTTCCTTTACCAACAACAATCAAAAATAATGTAAGTATCACTGTTGTTTCATACACACGTACGTACATACATGAAAGAAAAAACATTATTTTTGTTTGGAGTTGACATTCAGTCATTTAAAAACTAATTACAATTAAAGACAACATTTTAAGCTAATGCCGATGAAATCAACCAACCAGAATTATGTACCTAACAGAACTTAGCATCTAATGGTTCTTTGTCTAGAGTTGTTGTAGCTTGTCAATGTTTTCTGGCAAATGCCCTTGAATGTACGTACGTACGGCTTGTGTATTTACAAATTCCAAAATTTCGTTGTTCAAAAAGTTTTCCACAAAAACAATTCTAGTTTTTTTTTTTGGTAAAAACAACATAACCTTAAATACAAACATGTTGTTATATCATTGAAGTCGTGTATGATGTCTAAGCCGGCATTGCGATTTCTTCGTGTATCTGGTAATGGTTTTTGTTTGTATCTTTAGTGAGTTTTTTGTAAAAATAGTTTCACTTATTCGCCTTAAGCCCTCTGTTAACAAAATAGTGGTAAATGAGGTTATTTTTGTTTTTGGTAGCTATTGTCACAATTAATTTTTGTTGTTGCTTTTTTGCTCCATTGTTATGGTTGTTAAACGTCATCATAAATCAAAGGTTGTTCAGCAACCTTGCAGCAAATACTTGATTGTAATTGTAGCAGTAAAGTATTTATAAATGTATGTAATTAATTTGCCAAAAATGTTTATTGGAGAGGGATATGAGTTCAGATATAATATGAAGCAGATCATCTGGAACGTTAATGAACCACATTTATTAGTAACCTATAAATAAGGTTATTTTTTACGAATGGACTTTATCCAAAATCATAATTGAAAAATAAAATCATGTTATTAGTTCATTTAAGCCGAAGATTTTAATGTAAAGCCTACCTTATGCTTGGGTACATAAAACGGAGAAACGTATTTTCAGAAAAAGAAGAAAGAACAAAAAAACTTGAGCGGAGCAAATCGGAAAACTTACCAACGAGTAAAACGCCAACCCGAAAACTTTGGTGCAGCCACATTCTCCTGTAGAGATGAGGATCTGGAAGGAGCATTTTGAAAAGCTTCTGGTATTAAATAGTGGCGGTGAAGAAGATAACCAATAACCAAAAAGAGATGACGGTATTGAGTGTATATCACCTAGCCAAGATGAGGTCAGAATAGCAATCAATCGGCGGAAGAATGATAAAGGAGAATTTGCCGTTGGGTTACCAACCGAACTAATAATGACTGATGATCCAATGCTGGTCAGAAGCATGCACCAGCTGACTAGCACAATTTGCCAGCTGACTAGTACAATTTGGCTAGAGAAATGCATGCCCAATGATTCGAACCTCAGAATCCTGTGTCCGTGTATACAAAAGGAGACAAGACGATATATGCCAACTATAGAGGTATAAGTCTCCTTTCCATCGCATATAAAGTGCTATCCAGCGTGATGTGGGAGCGACAGAAGCCAATGGTCAATGACATTATTGGACCATACCACTGGAAAATCCAGCATTCACCAGATTTTCACACTGCACCAAATTGTGGAAAAGACCCACGAAAAACACATCGACACATTCCACCTATTCGACGACTATAATGCCTCATTCGAAAGCCCTATGCGTTAAGAGGTGTATAAAGCCATGTCTGCATTCGGCGTTTTTGCAAAATTAATGCAGCTATGAAGGATAAATTTAACTGACACAAGGTCAGCAGTTCAAGTCGGAAAGAACCTCTCGGATCCTTCAATACCGAATGAGGATTCAGATAAGGTGACAGTTGGTCGTGTGACTTTTGTAACACCCTGCTGGAAAAGGTAATACGAGAGGCAATGATGAACACAAATGTTCGCCATACAGCACATGTTACTCACCTACGCCGATGACATCGAGATAATAGTTCGCTTCTACTATGATCCGAAACGACCCGTGTCTTACTAGGACGCCCAATTCTGAATAGTAAACCTCAATCTCAGTAGTAAACCTCAATCTTCGCTGTAATTCGAAAACCCCCATGACAAAGTGATTTTTATACATTGGCTCAAACCAGCGACTTTTTGAGATTTAAAAGTTTTTAAAATGTTAACACTTTCGTGGAAATATTCCAAAAAGAGCGGGTAAGCTCG